ATTTAATTCAAAAATCTACTCTAATTTTAAATTTACTAACAAATAACAAAAAATTGGTTATGCTGAATATAAATTAGCTAGGTACCTTTTTTGTAATAGATGGAAACAACATATTCGTGTTATATGTTGTCAACATATTGTAATTGTACATTTATACATATATAATGTTAAAGTATTAGATGTTAACATGAATTAAATGATTTACACATTAATATATAGGTTCTTAGTGAAATATTTTATATGTTACGTGAAACATAAATATTAAAGCTTAGGAAAAAAAATACCTTTGCACAAACATTATAACAGAATTACACCAGAATTTAGGTGTTAATTAACCTAGTTACTATCTTTTAGAATTATACCCATAGGCGTGTCCAGACCTCATTCGCAGGTCATGCACAACAGTGGCATATCTAGGGGATGGGGAAACTGCCAATCCTCCCCCCCAAAAAAATAAAAAATAAAAATTTCTGTTAGGGTTTGGGGATTTGAATTATACACATGATGAAAAATAAAAAATTTAATATGAAAATAGAAATTGAGAAAAAAAGGTTCATATTATGCATCAAAATGTACTATGCAAATTTGATGAAATTTGCAGGTCATGCCTGTGCATGACAGGCATGACCCGTGGACACGCCTGTGATTATACCTATATRTTTTAAACGAAAAATGTGTTTAATTAGTAAGATATTTATTGAAAACAAATAATAATTGTATTTTTTTTATTAAATAACTGAATTAGTCATTAATAATCATATAAAAACTATTTATTTAGGAAAAGGAATTGAATTTAATTCAGAAAGTTCGGCATGAAAGTGAAGGTAATTATAAAATGTTTTATAATATATTAATATGTGTTTTTATTATTTAATTTATTGTTGGTTAAAAGTTAAAACTGTGCTTAGTAATAAAAATAAATTATATATTAGGTTTACAAATAGGATCAACAAAAGCTAAATTAGAAAATGTCGAATCTTTGGATACACTTCTCTCAAAAGAAATTTTAGATAAAAGTAAGTAGGTATTTATTTCTGATTCATATTTTGTAGATGTATTAATTATCATTATACTCTACAGTATTTATAAAGCAAGATTCAAAGTCAAATAGAACAAATTCAACTCAAGTAATTAAAATTGTATTAAAATGTATTATTTGTTTGCAATTTTATACAAATTTTGTTCTTATAGAAAAAGCTGAATTGCATCAAATCTACGATAGAAAATATTGTAATGTCTCAAACATTTACACTAGARCCATTTCACAGCTTAGAAGAAAAAACAATGTTGTTGAAAGAAGCTTTGGATACAGAAGATGGAAATGCGATACTAACTGTATGCAATTTCAACTTAAATTATATATATATATAAATATTTTTATATTTTGCGTGCTATTTCAGGTTGTTATATTTTTAACAAACACTTTAAAGAAAGGTATTTTCCAGCGTATATTACGTGATAATCCTATTGCTGCTTCTCATTACGTTCAATTTCTGTACTCCAAACAATATATTGATGAATTAGTCGACACTTTAGAGTATGTCCATGTATGCTAAATATTTAAACAAAAATATAATACCGTGAAACATATTTTTTATAGAATGTTGGGACGAACAAAAGATGCGATGGTAAGATACAATAATTGTTTAGAATAAATGGCCAATAATCAAATGTCTTTTTGAAAGCCTGTGTGGCTGTGTATAAAGAAGATTTTGAAATGTAATATGTTAAAGGTTAAAAGATCTTTAGGAATTTATTAAAAACAACTTTTTTTGAAATTAAAATAATTTAGAAAAATATTATTACTTAAGCAATTTCAAATATTTATCTTTAAAGTTTATTATATTTTTTTCTGTAGTTATAGTGTTGTATTAATAAAATTATTATAAAATTATTATAAATATATTTTTATTTTTCTGAAACTAAACATACTTTTACTACTTMTATGTGATGGCATATACTTTTTTCACTAAGAATCGGTTGTCATATAATTGTTTTTGTTATTTAATTAACTTTTAGAGCGCTTTCATACGAGACACTTTGTAGCCGGCTACTTATGTCTGAAAAGAATCGCGCGACTAAGATAACATTGCTATAAATATACTCGTACAYACGAGACACAGGCACGGACTGTGTGTCACGCCACCGAATCGGCGTGTTTTGTCCCCGTCAGCCACCAGACACTGATTCTAGTGGCCGGCTACAAAGTGTCTCGCCTGAAAGCGCTTTTACAATTTTTAAAAAGCAATTAGCATTAAATCAATTTGTTTTCTTATTTACATTTGAAGACGAGTGAYACAACTTTTTATCATAATATAATATTATATTTAATAATTAACTAGGTATATCATAAACTTGAACATGTTTAAAAGAATTATTTTAATACATTTTTTCTGTGGATGTTTTTAACTTTTTTCATAGTTTAATTTTAATTTATACTACTATATCAAAAATATAGTAAAACTAATGATGACTTTAAAATTACAAGATATAATATGAATTCAAAAAATAATATTATCCTTTTACTTATTGAAAATATAAAATTAATTATAATTTGTGTATATTTTATTTATTTAGATGATGCTATTCAAATTTGGATGTCGAAATCCACAAAACTGTTTACAGCGATTCAATGTATGTGCTAATCTATCAGACGAACAATATGATAAGCAAATTATATCACAACTTATTCGTTTAGTTGGTARTTAAATTTATATCAAGAACCCATATTTTCATTTTTTTTTCTTTTAAATACTAAATTATGTTTTAGAAAAAAGTGGAAAATTTATATCAGTTGTTTCGTTAGTGACTGACATATGTAAGGAGCAACAAAATATTCAATCTTGTCGTTTGGTGTCTAATGAATTTAATCTGAGTGCTAAACAGTTRGAAGCTACATTGTTGATGACATTTTGTCAACTACAAAATTGGATTCTTGTGGATGACATGTTGTTAAATAAAGTAATTTAATTTATTATGTTTCAATGTATCACAACTACATCTTATRTTAAGAGGCCACCATACTCGCATTTGTTGTCTCAGCCCTACAAACGCGTAACATAACAAATATTATAAATTTATTTATTTATTTGAGTTATACATGTATAATACATTTTAAAATAAAAATGCTCATAACTTCCATAAAAACTGAATTATTGTAAAAAAAACTTCCCNTTTTTTTGTAAGGAGAACCCGCGGCAACATAGGCCATTGGGTGTGGGGAGGTACGGTAGGGATTATTTTTGTATGTTTGTTTGTAGGTTTTTAATTGGGTAGGGTTGTAACACGTGTTTGTGTAAGTGTGGCAAGGATATGTTCCTAAAAATCCCGGGTGTTCACCCATCCGGGAGCTAGCAACTGCGGCCGGTACGTACGCTCAGTGCGTTTCCGCAGATTGAGCGTACGACCACGCCTCACCAAGCCACACTCGCATTTGTTGTCTCAGCCCTACAAACGCGTAACATAACAAATATTATAAATATATTTATTTATTTGAGTTATACATGTATAATACATTTTAAAATAAAAATGCTCATAACTTCCATAAAAACTGAATTATTGTAAAAAAAACTTCCCAACAAAACACAAATAATGTTCTTACCATCAAATTTCATAATAGGTCTATTCACTCTAATTTTTAAGTTAACAGAATAAGACGTGAACGGCTGAGCGTAAATTTGTTATGTTACGGGTTTGTAGGACTGAGACAACAAATGTGAGTATGGGTCCTCTTAAGTGTTAACTAAGGTTTTAGTTGTATACAATAAATAAATTTTAAAAATTATGAATAACCAATTTAAAATTGTAAATAGTGGACTGAAATATATAACTTATATATTTTAATATACTACATAATACTGTTTTTAGTGAGTTCATGTAACTGAAATTTGAATTCATTATTATGACTAATTTACTTCAAATTATTTTTGTTTAAAAATTTCAAATAAATTATTAAAATAGAAGTACTATTATTTTTAATTTTAGAATTGGCTTGGAAAGGACAAATTGGCTTTATCATTACCTATTGGTGAAACCGTGAAACTATTACACAATAATGGTGCTCCATCATCTTCATTAACCCGTTATATAAAAATGGTTAAAGATTCAGATGAACGTTTAGAATTGGCTAAGAAATTCAATTGTCATCATATAATAATTGATGTTGAGTAACAATTATTAATAATAAAGTTAACTATAAATAATATAAGTTTTTTTTTTATTATTTATTTATTGATTCAGGATTTCGCACTAAAAAAAGATCGTAGAGGATTATTAGTATACAAGACAACTTTACAAAAACMATCTGAAAGCTATTATTATGCCGATGTAATTTTAAAAAGTCCAGTAAGTAATAAATATTAACTGTTTGATTTCACATTAACCTTCTTGYTTTGCTTGTAATTAATAATTTGTGACAAATGCAATTAAATAATTGATATATTTATTTAAAATAACTAATCACAGCATTATAATATTTATTCATGACTTATCATTATTAATCTTTTGTCCTATTCAACTTGAAAAGTTTTAAGAATGTGGCATCATTGTATGTTTTAGCTACTAGTGGTTGACTAGTGGTAGGAGAATCAGTTGAGTAGCATTGAAAAAAAACCGGTTGCCACAAATATGATATAAGTCAATTTAAAAATGTTTTTATGAAGTTATTGTTGAATAGTACTGAACGTTTATTTCTTATCCATTATTAAGTATCCAGTAATATGGAAAGTCTATTTTCAGTAGGTAGTATAGAACTAAAATGAATATTTTGTTTTGCCCTGAGAATTGTATTATATAGATTTTACTAAACTTATAAAAATATACTTATAATTTATGTGCATATAATGAATCAAATTATGTTATGAATAATACTAAAATAAATAACATTTTTTTTTCTTTTCAGAATATGAAGTGGAAAAATTAATATTAGTTACAAGTTATAACTCCTTAGTCAATACCAAGTTTATTACAATATGTGAAAACCTTTGAACAAAATATGTAAGACTGAGTCAGATTATTCATGATTTATAAATTATTCAATATTCATTGTTATGTTTCATAATGTTAAATTTATTACATAGTTAAATTAAATATTCTTTTAAATTGACATATTCATATTTTATTTTTATGATTAAGATTGTTTATATTTAAAAATAAAAATAAATTGAACTGTTACCCTGACCCAATTTACTTAAAAGAATCTACTTATCATTACCTTTTTTTCTTTTTGAATTATAATGATAAATTGGGTACACAATTTTAGGGAAACGTGACTGTACAACTAATTAAATGGGTCAGTGAAACCTTATGGTAGAAAACTAACTGTTGTTTTACTATGGCTTTTAATGCTCTAGTTGTTTCCTCTGTGGTTGTGCCACTTACATATTACACCTATGCTTTTGATTCAGTTCTTTATACACATTTTAAAGAAAGGTTTATATTTGTTGAGGTGTAAATTAATTTTTATTTTTATGGATATTACTAATAATAAATTCGAAAAATTTGAATCAGAAGATAATCATGATAGTGTTACGCCTACAACATATAAAAGGAAAATTTTTGGACGTCAAAAAACCTGTATGTAATACAAGAGTAATTTTAATAATGATAAAATATTTTTGGAAGTAATATATTATTATGGTTTAGTATCGGAGACTTCAATTTATAACCCCATTGACCCTCAAGAACGGAAGAAGAGTAGACGTGAGTAAATTCTATATAGTTTCTATCACTTCTCTTGTTCGGTTTTTGTTTTTATTTTTATTTTTATAATTTAGAAAATAGTTTTGCGGATAAAACCCTAGATTGCATTACACAATGCTTTTGGCAATGCTCATCTTGTTATCAATGCAATGAAAAATCTTAATCAAACAAATTCTGGCAGTCTTAACAATAAACAATAAATAGTATGATTTAAATTCAACTAATATTGTTTTATTTGATTTATCAATTGAAATAAAAGTGTCATAATGGCTCATTTGTTGGCTTGTACAGTTTTCTGTTGCTCGAAAATTTTACTTCTGGAGTCCATTAATGGCTTCAATGACCTGTCTTGTCTATGCTTTCAATTCACCTATAATATGTGACATATATTTTCTTCTAATGAATAATTTTTAAAATGTTGAAGATACAATTTTATTAAATACAACAAAAATGGTTTAAAATAATTTATTTATATAATTATTGTTTTTTAATATTAGGTTTTTAACAGTTGTTGCAATCTTACCAACACATTTTATTAATGTTAAAATTTCATATTATAGTTATTGTTAATTGTGTTTATATACGTTTATGGAATTATTTACAATGTAATTTTACATATTATATCAAATTAATAGTTAATTATTTTATACTTGATATAAGTTTAAAAATGTTTATGTCCAAATAATGATCATGCTCAATATCTTCTACATTTGCAACGGGAATAATATTGTTACAATTATATCAATACCTATATTTGTTATTTTATTAAAATTTTAWGCATATTAAAATATRTTTWAATTATTTTATACTCAATTTTTTTAAAACAATATTGAATGTGTAACACCAATTTTCTATAATGTTATCACAGTTAAAATTAAACTTTAAAAAAATTAGTAATGCATTTTTTACTGGAAGAAATACTAATTTCACTGTGGATTTATATTAAATTCACTAGCTATTGAATAGGTATTAAAAGACAAAAACATAATTTTAATTTTAAACAACATATTGCTTTTAATACTAAATAATAGTTTGCTAACAGTTTTTAAATATMTCGTGAAATGTAGTTTAATATATTGTATTTATATCAGCGTATCCTATACCAATGCCAATAAAAAATAGTATTACARGTTTAAGATAACCAGAAAAATATAAAGGCATTTAGATTAAGATAATATTGTGTTGTGTTATTACGTATAGTAACATAAAAAAGTATTCAGTATTGAAGTAATAGCCTTGGCCCATGTTTGAAAAAATATATGCTAAGAGTACCTACCTATTTAAATAATGAAAAATTATTTAAGAATTTATTTGCCTTACAATGGTAACCACTAATAAGAGATTAAAATACACATTATTTTTGCTGTAAAGAAATTAAAAACTGTCTATTGTGGAGTTTACAGTGGTAGCTTAGTGTCTACAAACTGAGGTTTTACTGTTTAATATATATTGTATAAGTATGAACAGTAATGATTTTTATTATTAAAAGAAAAAGTCCAACATTTATTGTTTGGAATGTATAGGTACAATGTATGCTATGCAAATTAAATATTATATTATAATGAAACATCTTAATATCTTATATAAAATCATCACAACAACAAGATTTATTATTACACATAAATATCACAATTGGTAACCAAAATTAGTATTTTTTATTACTTTAAGTACAACATTATAAAAAAATATTTCCTTTAACCAAAAATAAAACTAATATAATCAACAATTATCCAATATATTTTTAATTTTTCACAGAATTTGTTGTAAAAGGAGGTTTCCATCCCCCAAATTTTAATTCCAAGTGTTTTGCAACAGCTACACACAACCGATCTTGATTCATTCCGGCAACCACCTATTAAATAATAATTGGATAATATTGATATTATTGGTTATTAATATTAATCTATCAAATATAAACTAAAATACAATATACCTGTATTCCTAATGGTAAACCATTTAGACCTAAACCGAGTGGCACTTGGGTGACAGGTAGCTTCAGCACGTTGAAAATAGCCCAATAAGCAAAATTATATGGATACAAGAATGGCTCATAATGGCGTTTAGCTGTGGTTGGAGACGATGGGAAAAATAACACGCTATCATCACCCAACAATGTCTAAAAGTGAATATTACTTTAATTAGCATACTAATAATAAATGTTCTTTTTTTTTTTATTAAATTAAAGTGTTTCTGACATACAAGGTCATCGAACTTATTGATATAATAAAGAATTTTTAACATCATTAAGTTGTTAAGCGTAAATTAATTACAATATATACAGTAAATTACAAAGATGAATAAATAAATAAATAAATGTTCTTGTTACATAATATAATACTTAAAATTAAACTCTTCAGTTAAAATATTAAAGCTTGTCTCAATCCGCTTCATAGCTTGAGATAATTATGCCTTAGTGCAAATTCAAACTGTGGGCTTATTATTCGAACCACGGCTTACAAAATTAAAAAAAAATTTAATTTTAAGTAAGATAAATACTAATATTGTTTATAGTAAGTAGCATAGAAAGTGATAGCTGTCCGTCATGCGCCAAGCGAAAGTTTTTCTAAAGTAGTTATCAAATACAAAGGCCGCTATGAATATTAAACGTAATAGCAGCATGACAGTACAATATTATTGAAAATTAATGGCTACAGTGGGTTATGAGGGCCAACACTCATTTTTCATGCTCACAACTATACTATAATATATCAACAAACTCATAAATGTATTCCTATTACAAAAACAGCACACACCGCAGATCTCTGATATCGTCCTAAACCATTCCTTCACTGAAAAGAACAAGGAACATCCGAAAAATTCCTTTGAATAAGTTTAATTTATAGACAAAATAAATTTTGCTTTATAGGTCTATAGTTTAATTTTTAATTGTTAAGAGTTTAAAATTATGGAATCATATTCTAAAGCTACTGCACTTACATCTGATTATGTTGTGGTGGAGATGAATATATTCAACAAGAAAGTAACAATTTATCTACATATTGAATATTATACGGTAGTATAGTACGTGGCACAACAAAACATGGAGAGCTGTAAACACCGCTAACTTTGATTTTAGAATTCTAAACTCAAAGCTTTTAAATTTCATAAGCCCCCAAACCATACGAACTTGTTTTGTATAATGCCTATTATTTTTTAGAAAGAATGAAAAAAAAGTAACTATGATTTGATAAAACTGCAACAATTTAATATTTTTTTTTTTTTGGATATATCCGCAGAGAGGTACAGGAAGAACTCTCCGATAAGGCATTAATACAGCTTAATATTTTRCTCCTTCCCCTTCCCCTAAACAAATTTACCTAAGTGAGTTTAAAACACTCAGCCATATATTTAAGAAATTTAAAACTAAAATATCTATACATTTACCGATATTTCGTTTGAAAGTTTTTCAATCTCAGCATCAGCCCAAACTGCATTTACTTTAGGTAGTTGTAGATCTATTAATTTTAATACGGCAGCCAAGGAATGATTTGAACGTCCTACAATAATTTTTGGGACTTCTGACCATACAGAAACTCTAGTCTGTAATAATAGACATTTATAATATTATTTTTAAAATAATTTAAAATTAATTACTTGATTGTTTCCCAGTGTAGCACAAAAATCTGATTCTTCTTTTGTCATAGAGTGTCTCCATAAGCTATAGCTGTAACGGGTACCTGTAAATTTGACTCCGAGTGGAGGCAGTTCAGTGATAGAAGCTATAGACTCTATAACATGATCCAAAACTATTTGTAATTCATCACTGATGGGACTGACTCGTGGATCATTGGGCTTATCAACATAGTAATATTTCAAACTAGATAAATCAACCTAAAAAAAAATCATACAAAATTATTATCCATGTAATTTTTTTTTTTGTACTATTAATTAATATATTTTGCTTACTTCTTGCCCAATTTTCAATTCCAGAGATTTTTCAGGTCCAAGGAAAGCTTTAATTACTGGAGTTAGATCTTCAGCGTACTTAGTAATAGGTCCTGCACTGACCATGGTTTGTTTTTCCGTGCCTTTTCTAAATGTCATACCTTTTGTATTTATAAAACCTGAAAAATTGTAAAATTACTATGAACAAAAATCATATTGATTGGTGAATGTCAACATACTAAAATTCATTATTGTTTTACATATTTATGCATAATGGTGTCCATGAAATAAGCATGATGTTAATATACTTTTGTCATAAATTCAGAAATGACTTAGGTACCACAATAAAACACGAATTAGGACATTTGTAATAATTTAAAAATCATTCAATAGAAAATATAATTTTGAAAATTAAAGGAACAAGTTGGGTAGAACATATATGGTGCATGTAGAACAAAAGATGATTAGGTAATTAATAACAGAAAGTAAATCTAACAGAAAGAGCCAGGTAAGTCAACTCAGTCTTGGTATGACTAAAGAACATATCATTTATAACCAGTAAAATATAATTGTATCAATGGACTGTGTTGGAATGATTAATTTATAACAATTTATTGTTTTTTGTTTTACAAAAACAATACATTTTATAGTTAATAATACTAGTATGTACATTGTACATTAGCTGACAATATATATTATACAAATAAATTAAAAAATGTAATCTTATAAGACAAAAATAAATATTAAATTAAATATTTTCCTTACCTGTAGTTAACTTATGCCCAAATAAACCACAATTAAAAGCGGGTATACGAGCAGATCCTCCAATATCTGTTCCAAGACCCAAGGGACTACCGCAAGCTGATACTATACTAGCCTATTATAAAAAGAAAAAATAATTCTTAGAAAAGATTATATTTAGGATAATATTAAACATACTTCACCACCAGAAGAACCACCAGCTGAATGATTTGTATTATAAGGATTATTTGTTTGTCCATAAACTTTATTTCTAGTTTCATACCATAGGTTTATTTCTGGAACATTTGTAACGCCTAAGAGTATTGCGCCAGCAGTCTTTAATGATTTGACAACTTCTGCATCCTCATTGCTTTTCATGCCAGTTCTTGATATAAGACCTAAAGTCCAAGACATACCTTTTGCTGCTGTACTTTCTTTAGATGTAAATGGAACACCAAATAAAGGTTTGCCATCAAAAATTAAATTAATTTTTTCTTCTGTATCAGCTAATTCAATAAGTTTATCATATTCATCAGCTTCAACTAATGCTTCGTCAAAACGTGTGTCAACCACAGCGTTTAAAATTGGGTTCACTTGTTCAATTCGTTTTATGAAACATTCTACAACATGACGACATGTAACTTCTTTATTTTTAATTTTATCGACAATAGTTGTACAACAGTCGAGAACCAATGGATCTTCTACTGGGGGCAATGCTTTTGATGGTGTATTTTTGTAAACATAGTCAAATATAAATGACACAACTAGGTCATAGACAAACCGAAAAAATGATATTACATATGATAAACAGTAACAAGGATTTGATGTTTTTGGTTTTTTGGATGGGCGGAATTTCTTCAAGTGATCATTTTCCTTTTTTTCCTAAAAATATGTATAGACAATGGATAAATATATTTTTTATGTAGGTAGTCAATAATAATACTTAATATTTACTTAGAAATCATAGGAACACGAGATGTTAAAATAAATTTTAAACGAGAAGAGTTTGAGAAATTAAAATGTATTTACTGGACTAAAATTTACAATCGTGTAACCTATACACATTTGTAGGTTTTAGTTATAGCTTCTGATTAGAAGTATACACAGGGAGGAGGGTAGTTTGGATGTCAAAACTTAAAGTTGGAAATTTCTGTGTAGGTCGTGTATACCTACACTATGCCACTACTTCAGTTATTATATAATTTATAACTATAGAATTTTTATTACTAAAAGTTTAAGAATTTATTATTTTTTTATATTTGATATTTTTATTCTTTTAACAGATATTTCATATAATATACAACTTGATAATTATAAATAACAAATATTTAAGTACCTAGCACATCAACAGTCAGTGGCAGCTATCTTAGAGTATCTGTATGCGAACAATACAGAATAATACTTTGGAATATTTTAATAGGTAGTATAATAGTAACTATGTCAATAGTTAAACATTTGTTGTGGGTGGATGGTTATTTCTTATGTCTACTACACCTATATTTTTAAGGATAACTACCACTGTCAACAGTAATGAATTTCTAGAATGTAAGATTACATAACATCTATAATAAATTAAATTATGAATTAGCCTACCTATAGGTATTTCATGATAGTTGTAGCAGGTTCAGGCCTGTCGCTAGGGCACAAGAAGTCGTGCATTGCTTTAGGGTGCCATACATGTTATAGGACGGCAAGATTAAATAAATATAGATAAAGAAGAGCACTACTAAATTTTCACTTTAKGGCAGAAAATRTCCAACACCAGGACTGAGCAAGTTTGGATAATGTTGTTAACCATGTYAACAAAACATAAGTATTATTCATACACATTAGAGAAACTTCTGTTCAAGGCCAGAATTACATTAAAATATTCATAATTATAATTTTACACACATTTTTCATGTATCTACCTAGTATCTACSAATATAAAAATAATACAAAAAAATTAGCTTATTTAAACAAGTATAAAGTAAAAGTATGTGAGATGATCAACATTACCTTTCTATATCCAGCCATTGCAAGTATGTCAGGAGTAGGTTTCTTTAAGTAAACAATCAACAGGTCAACACGCAAGTAAAATTAAAACAATAAACGAAATGTTGACATGTTACTCTGATTGTTGATTTTGAAGTGGGGTAAGGTAAGTAGACAAAAATATAATATTATATTTATAAGTATATTTGCCGCGGAGTAGGAATAACAAATCGCGTTATCCACTGTTTTCAAGCCACCTTGAAAAAAAAAGCTWAATATTGAATAATAATTGTTATTATTATTTTTGAAATCAACGCATAACGTTGTATTAACGATTCTCAAAATAAATTATCCGCAGCGAATTTATGTTGCGATTTTGTAGGTATATAGATAAATGAAAATTTKTATTCTGTACACGATTCGTTTCACATTTTTAAATTATTAGTTTAGTAKACATGGAACTTTGAAATAATTATTGTAAATTGCAATATTTTTCTGCTTCAATGACTATAAATGTATAATTTKTTCGATTTTTTCTATTTAGTTCTTTACTTATTCACCATTGATAAAACACGAGCATCATAAGTTTAATATCAATGCTATATAACCACAAAATATCACAACTCACAACACGCCACAGACGACAGATTGTATTATCAGTTATTCAAGATGGATTTAAATCCATATTGGCACCACAGATTTTTATAAGTTAAGTTTAAAGTTGGTATAATAGTCAATAGAAGTCTGTAATTGGCATAGAACAATATTGGATACATTTTTAATTTTTGGTCTTATGGTATTACTAAATAGTAGCCAAGAGTTTATCATGTGTAAATACTAAATATACTTTGGTTTGATGCTTAGATTTATGAATTATGATATGGTACAAATATCGTAGGTATTATTGTAATTCCTAATCCGAAAATACCTTTGGGACTTGGGTTATGGCCTAATCTGTAACTTCCAAAATATTATAACTTGGTTCATCGTGTATTTTTTTTTTAACTGCTTTCTCAGACGTGCCAGACATTTTTTGGAGTAAATACCCGTTTTTTTGTCTTAGAAATAGATAGGTAATATTATGTTATACCATGGCCGTACCTGATAAAGTGATAAAAAGTATAATAGAAAATAATTGCCGCGACATTTTTATGTCTGTTAACGATCTACTTGTTATAATTTAGTTGTTTATTGTAAATATTTCCTTGCATTAATTAATAAATAACAAATTCTTGTAATGTGTATAGTAATAGGTATAGTAAAATTATATATAGTAACATTACACTATTTCACATAAATAAATAAATATATATTATAGTCTCTCAACGGTTACAACGTCGAGGGTTATATTAAATAATAATAAAAATATATAACAGAAGACGAACAATTTTTACTGTCATAATATTATAGTCACAAGGCTTTAAAAACTAAAATATTAGTTATTGTCCATTCCGAAGCTTGCTCGATCGTAATAAAAATTGTTCTGGACGTCGTGGCGAAGACATGTCATCCAGAACTGACCATGATCCATAATCCATTCATCTGATTTCGATATGTATTGTTCCGAGTTCGTCTACTTTCCTGCGTGCACTATAACTCAACAATGACAAGGCGTCGTCACCAAACCAATGTTCACCGTTACTACAGAATGTTTCGATTTTGTTTTTAAAAAGTAAAATATCAAATACATCAAGTCAGTGGCGTGGCGATGGGGGTAATCGAGAGGCGGCCGCCTCTCAGTTTTTTTTGGTGGGTGATGGGTGACACTGGGTGGATGGAAAATAATTTAAATTCATAATAACGAATTTAGGAAAATAACACATAAAATGATATTTTAATATTGTCTAATATAGATATAAACGAAAGCTAGTATCCAGTAGGCAGTGGTTACTAACCATTAGGTAGTTGGTAATAATACCTACCKAATAAGWWMAATTGTCTGTGAAAAGCAATCACCCCCCCCCCACACCCTATTTCCAATTGAGAGACAAAATTATGGTTGATTGGTGGGTGGGTGGGTGGTTGTCGCAAAATATACTTGCCTCTGAAMATATTCGAGTTCGCCACGCCACTGCATCAAGTCATCAAATCGTACATTGTTTTATCGGATGGATCACCAGTGTTGATGTCAATGTTTTAATGCGATAAAACATATCGTTAAATCGACAATATAATACAATGTAGAAAAAATGGTTGTTTTGATAAGTATACAAACCAATTTACAGTGATGGTTGGTGACATAGGCGGGTCCAGACCTCATTCGCAGGTCATGCACAACAGTGGCATATCTAGGGGATGGGGAAACTGCCAATCCTGCCCCCTCAAAAAAAAATAAAAATTTCTGTTAGGGTTTGGGGATATGACCTTGAATTATACACATGATGAAAAACAAAAAATTTAATATGAAAATAGAAATTGAGAAAAAAAGGTTCATTTTATGCATAAAAATGTACTATGTAAGTTTGATCAAATTTGCAGGTCATGCCTGT